GAAGGGGAATCGAACCCCAAACCAACCCGTGTGTCCCTAAAGCTTTCACTTTCAGGGACTACCAGTAGGGGACTCAAACCCCTTAAGGATCCTTACAGCCCAACCCTGCTGGGTTTTTCACCCCGACTGACCGGTAGGATTATCAGTTACCAGATACGCAGAACAAAACTTTACCATTGTTTCCTTAGTTATCTCTGGGGGAGTCCTAAAATCCTCCCAGCTTTGTAGCATCTGACCTAACAGATTATCTGATGGTACTGTCAGACTCTTTCCTTCCCCATTTCTCCTTTTCTCTTTACTCTATTTCCCATTTGGAAATTCAACAGTTTAAGAAATTTGGCAGAAAGCCAACCCACTTACATTCCAGCTTGTCCTCAGATATCAGAGGGGCTGGAGGCGTCTGGGCTTTAATTCTGAGTGATATCCAATTAATATACAAAAAACAGTACAATGAGCCCAGATTTATACACCAGAGCAATAATCAAGATCCGATAATCGTGTTCCAGTATAACAAAGCATGAATTCCAAAGGACCGCATTGTCACAAACAAGATGGAGACCTGAATCCCTTTCAACCCAGGCATTATCCAGACCTCCCTTGTCCGGGCTAACTATCTAGAGGGGATTCGAGCTCCTAAGATACCTCTTTAGCCCAACCCCACACAGCTTCTTGCTGCATCTGACAGGCTGGCAACCAGAATCAAAAATTCCAGGCCCACTGCCTGTTACCAAACTTGCAAGGGAGCACCCTCCTTTATATCAAACGAGTGGAGTAATCAACCTCTAGGTCTCCAATCTCCAGCTTAAAGTGTGGCGTGGTTCTTTTCACCCCTCCTTGGGTGTCCCTAAGAACAGAAATTCTGCCCAATTTCTTTGCTTTTGTAAAGACATGCCACTGGTGTTCTTATCAACTGATAACCTCAAGGGCAGCATATGCCCTTGGTAGGGATGAGCCACGTCCCAGGTGCTCCATCTGCCTCAAGCCACCAGGTGACGCTGCCGGAATACTTACGGGACAGGCTGCCTTTGAACCAGTCTGAAAGAAAAACACACTTCGCTCATAAAAGCTGGTTTTATAGGACCTCATTTTTGCGCAGAGCATCACAGACTTGTATCCAAAAAGAAACATCCACAGGAAAGTCAATTAGAAAGTACAGTCCACAACAACAACTATCTGAAGTTGAATGGGTAAACACATGTCCCAGTCCTGGCGGTAACCTGACCACTCATTATGTAAAATCTGTGACACAGGGAAGTTACTCAAAGGAAGCTAACTGCAACTCCTGCCACTGCTAAAGCGTAGCGTTTGGGTAACTCTAGTTCTTGCGTAGAATTTTTCACTATTACCAAGGAGTGGCAGGTCCCCACCAGGAAGGCCACATGCCATACACATGAGTTCATGCAGCACAAGAAAGATGAGCTACAGAGAACTCAGGGAGCACCTGCAGTTCACTACTGGTCTCACCGCCACACGGGACCGCAGGACAGCATCCCTCAGTGGTCTCGCCGCCACGCAGGACTGCAGGACAGCATTCCTCACTGGTCTCAGTGCTGACAGGCAGGCAACAGAGCACCCAGGGTGCAGGCATCCCTGAAAAGCCGCCTCCAGAGGCAGCTGCCCGGGCCATCAGAGCCCATCTGAAGAGATGCTCGTGACCAGGCCAGTGCCAGCTCATCAGCAATTTCACTGAAGGGTCTCCACATGACACGCATACCCTGGCAAGCCGCAGGCCATCAAGCAGTCATCTGAGGATTTTTATGCTGAGATGAGCTGTATGTTAACTCTGCCAGCACAGCAGTGACAACTGGGAGTGTGTTTGTGAGGAGGGGCAGGAAACAGGAGGTTAAACCCCGCCTGTTTCTAGCCAATAGGTTGTATTGACAAAACCCTGTGGCCTGGACAGAGCTTTGCTGAAAACCTGGCAGCAGTGCAAGCGTGCCTATGGCCTCTGCTGACACAGCTTGAGCAGCAGGTCTGTAACACACACAAGGTCTCGGGCAGCTCTACAAGCTAACCCCACATGTTGGTCGGCTCCATTATCTTTCTGGAGGGCACTTTTCCTCATGCATAGAAGGCTACAAAGGTTCCACTGGGAAAAACAAAAGCTTGTCTGCGCCATGCAGCATCCCTTCAGCTGCTCTTATAATAGGTGTAGCTAGAAACATCCAATAGCTACTTTTAGTCCTGCATGTGCTCCAAGACCCACATCCTGAAACCTCTCTCATCCCTAGTGAAGCCAATATGCACAGCTGCTCCAATGGATTTTGTAAAAAGCCCACCAAGCACCTGTGATGGTGCAACACCATCATCCTAGAAGGAACACCTGTACCACCAGAACTAAGACAACATTCCATGAGATTCGCAAGGGCCACTCCAAGGTTTGTCAGAGCGTAACTCCCTTCCTAGCATAGAAAGATACATCTTATAGCCAAGAATTGACCAGGAGTAGCTGGTCTGGAAAGGAACCTAGATTTCCAAGCCTTCTTGGTGTCCTCTGAAAAGTCTTTTCACTACCTTCATTTCTACTTACTGAATGGAGAAAGCTACTCCTCTCTACCCCAGAGAACTAAGGTGGCCACGTAGTTAGGGTTTCTATCCCAGCTCTCAATCCCAGTTGTTTTGCTCCAAGAATGTCTGCATCCCTCAAAGGTTGGACATCACCCCTCCTCTCACTGCATATATCCAGGCATAAGCAGGACAGTATCAGTGATCCTCACTCAGCTCCCTGCAGCAATTCAACCAGAAGAACCAGGGGGAAGACATGTATCCTGGGCTGCATCAGGAGAAGCGTGGCCAGCAGGTTGAGGGAGGTGATCCTGCCCCTGTACTCTGCTCTGGTGAGACCCCACCTGGAGTGTTGCGTCCAGCTGTGAAACCCACAATATGAGAAGGATATAGACCAGTTGAAATGAGTCCAGAGGGGGCCATGAAGATGATCAGAGGGCTGGAGCACCTTTGCTATGATGAAAGGCTGAGAGAGTTGGGCTTGTTCAGCCTGGAGAAGAGAAGGCTCCGGGGAGACCTTATAGCACCTTCTAGTACCTGAAGGGGCTACAAGGAATCTGGGGGGGGACTTTTTACAA